GCGTTCTCTTTAGAGAATTTATACTCTAATTCAAATCAATAATACTTGAAGCAAATAATACACCTCTATCGTTTGCACTCGAAATACAGTTGTAGAACAAGCATGCCTCAAATACAAGCTGCATCAATATTTAGAAGCCACACCTTATCCACTAAAATAAACATTTTGTCACGCTGTAACCCTACATTCCTTAATTTCCTTGCTAGGTATTAACGTCATTGTCACTGCATTGCTCTATTAAACAGTCGACATTTATCCTCATTCTAATGACCTGCGTGTAGGCCTATAAAGAAAATAAAGTATAACTTCAGCTTAGTACTGCGTTTTAAATACAATAATTCCTGTCTAAGCATTTTCTACTGCCACACTGAGCACTCTATAATAATTCCCTACAACTATCGCATGCACAGTGACTTCACCTATGCAAAATTCCTATGTATATATACACGCGAACGGGACCACTCAAATTAACCATTAAGCTCAAATTAAAGTATCTAAATTATCACTTACTTCTTTGACAGGATACAATTTCATCGTGCCGACCAAATCACAGCGAACTGCCTTGCGCTAGCTCTACTCAACTACTGCCAGTTACACGCCGAACACGCACTGGCTACAACCCTAACTGGCTTCTAACACACACGCGTGACGTCTAGCGAATTGCCACGTTAATAAATTTAAACAAAGCTGTGTCTAGACGCGCTACTGTAAAAGAAAAATATCGCTACATAGGTTTGCTTACCACACAGTAGGTGACGCCTGCACCACCGAAACAAACTAGCTTAACAAAAACCCCTGCTTCGTGAAACATAGTGAGTATGGTGCAAGGCTGGTCTGGTGATAAGCTGAGAGAATTCTGTGCAGAAAGGGGCATGGAGTGGAAATTCATCACGCCTGGAGCGCCACACCAAAATGGATGTGCCGAATCATTGGTGAAAAGCTGCAAGTACGCTCTCAAGAGGGCTATTGGAGAGCAAACTTTAACGCCCTTCGAGCTGTACACGTGCCTACTAGAGGTTGCTAATCTAGTGAATCAACGGCCGATTGGCAGAATCCCAACCGATCCTGATGACGGAAGCTACCTGAGTCCTAATGACATGCTGTTAGGACGTGCTTCCAGCTATGCCCCTTTCGAGAAATCGAATGTTATGAACAGTCGAGAAAGGGAACCAAAACTTTGCGTCCTGCCTTGAACCGATATATTTGGTTTTATTCGATCTGTAAATAAATATTACAAATAAAGATACTAACCATTACAATACACATAGAACAATATAAATAGAGACTGTACATGACATAACAACGTTNTCTCTCTCTCTCTCTCCTCCTCCTCCTCTCTCTCTCTCTCCCCCCTCTCTCTCTATCTCACCTCGCTCTCACCTCCATCTCTTCCCTTTCAGCTTCTGCCGGCTCGGCTGCGCTCACAGTGACGTCACCTGCTCACCTGGCGCCCTCTACGCCGAATACCTTCAGTATAAGTTCGTCTCCCTGCCGAGCGGCGTGGAGGCAGGCAGCGACCTCATGCAGCTGGTCGCCTACGACGGCGACGGTCGCCAGCTCCGCTCGCCGACGTTCACGATAACCGACAACGACTCCAGCTACGGCTTCGCGATCAGAACTTCCGATGACAGCGGCAGGGGGGTGCTGTACGCGGTGCGGGGGCTGGCGGATAGCACGCAGTACCGGCTGGTTGTCGTGGCGAGGGAGGAGGCAGCGCAGGAGGGGAGGAGCGCAGAGGAAACTAGCTTCGTCATCTACATATACGTGTCAGCATATCCGTTCTAAACGAGAGGTGGAGAGGGAGAGAGAGAGGGAGAGAGAGAGAGAGAGAGAGAGAGAGAGAGAGAGAGAGAGAGAGCGAGAGAGAGAGGGAGGAGAGAGAGGGAGAGAGAGAGAGAGAGAGAGAGACAGTGTGACGATGATGATAGTCACTACGACGACGACGACGATGACGATAACTCCGCTCATTGCGGTCAGTCATCGAACAGCGTGTGTATATCATAGGCAGCGTTTAATTTGATACTACATTGTTTTATAAGAGAATAGCAACGTGCGTCGTCGAGTGCCTGCGTTACGGATACTGCATAAGCAGCACTGACGAACATTATGTGATGTGTAGAGAGTTGCCTGCAAGAGTATGCATGTGTTATTTCCTTATAGGTGTTCATACGCGGTCCTGTTGGACATTGAGTCAGTGCCAAGGATCGGGAGAGAGAAACATATTAGTTTGCTTTTCATATCACGATTGCTCAAACGAGCAGTATTACGGTTTATTATCGTTTAAGGAGTACGAACAAAGACGAGAGAAGTCTCGTATCTTATACACAAGCAATCCCTGTAATACTACTGCACTCTGTAATACTACACCCTGTAATCATGTACTCGTAATTTTTCTTAGTAATTTCGGCATAACGAGAAGATATATGTGACGACGTGAACGCCCGAGTCCTTATAACGATGGCAGTGACATCATCACGGGAATTGCTACGTGTAGGGACGAGATAGACGCCACCCAATGACAGGGTGCTACGTCGTTAATGACGTCACGCGGTCGGCTTGTTGCGATAAAAGACGTAATACGTATAGATATTATGATGTGTTATATGATATCTATGGTATAGACTTTCCTTTTGGGGTCGATGGTGCAGCAGCGACGGCACGCCACCGCCCCCTGGCGTCGGACGATACTATATACTATCTGAAAAATAAAACATTGTTACTAAAACCTTTGGGCTTACTCAATAGATTATGTTACCGTGTCAGTTAGAGTTGGTGGAAGCAGGATGTGTGAGAGAGGAGAGGGAGTGGTAGAAAGAGGGGATAGGAGAGAGGAGGAGGACAGAGGAAGCCAGAGAAGAGGAGAGGGGAAGCCAGAGAAGAGGAGAAGGGAAGCCAGAGAAAAGGAGAGGGGAAGCCACAGAAGAGGAGAGGGGAAGCCAGAGAGTAGGAGGAGGGAGGAAGCCAGAGAAGAGGAGGAGGACAGAGGATGCCAGAGAAAAGAGGGAGAGGGGTGAGAAAAGAGGCAGAAAGAGAGACGAGCAGTAAAGGGAAGCAGGAAGATTAAGGAATTGAGTAAGAGGGGGAACGGGGGATAGGAGAGTATATATATATATATATAGAGAGAGAGAGAGAGAGAGAGAGTGTGTGTGTGTGTGTATGTATGTGTGTGAGAGGGTGAGAGTCACAGAGAGGGAGAGCGTGAGCGAGAAGGCAATAGAAGTAACTATATATAGAGAGAAAAGAAAGAGGTAGGGGAAAATTGTCGCGGCCGCAATTTAATATGTCTGTGTATGTGCCAACAATAAACGTACGTGTGTGCCTATGCGTGCGCGTACGTGTGCGCATCTCCCTCTGAATTACTAACTCCCTCCGTACCTCCCTCCTTGTCTCTCCTCTTCCCTTCTCCCTTCTCACTCCCTTCCCCTCAATATTTGCCTCCACCTCTCCCAAAATGGCTGTATTTCGGCTCGAACATTTTCACCCCTCCCCCCAAAAAGCACAAAAAGTGGATCTACGGCTATAATACGCCTTTTTATAGTCAAGTAATCACACATACACACACGCGACCGGGCACGCACACGCGGGCACAGGGTCGGCGGGCATGATCGCATAGGCGCAAATTCACATTTTGTGCCTCGGCAGGTGAAAAAGTTTGAGCCAAAATACGGCCATTTGCTCGTAAAAGTTTCTCCATGCTTACCGGTCGTGGGCGATACTATCCGCGAGAGCGGAGAAGGGAGTGAAGAAGAGGGAAGTGGACGGAGAGAGTATATATATATATATATATATTTACAGATAGATAGATAGACAGGTAGACAGACAGACAGACAGATATAGATAGATAGCGCCCGAGAAAGACAGAAAAATGGCAAGAGAGAGAGAGAGAGGACGAAGTTGACTGAAGAACAGTGTTGACTTCTTATGAAAACATAATGTCTCTGTTCGTAACCGAGCTGTGTCACGCGAAATCACAGAAAGACTGCCGAAATTGTCGCCACGACGCCACGCCACGCGCTGACGCCACGACGGCGGGCAGATAACATCTAGTGGAAATTCTCAGTGTAAACAAACATCAATCAACGGGCTTAGCCAATCAACGTGAGGGGTCCTAAGATGGCTACGATAATTCACGCCCGCACGTCACGATTCCAGGTAGACTGGTACGGACCTTAACTCGGCCAAGTATCTTTCGCTACACTAAACTTATAGTTAGTGCAGCGTGTGGAACTCTCCACCGCGGAGCAGTCTAAGCTGGATCGCCGATCCTTGTGTGGAATTATACCTTGAAAATCCCTCGAAGAGGGCCTCGTGGCGCCATCTATGGGACGCCATATGTACGAGAATAAATTCAGGGCGTGAAACGGAAGAAATGCAAACTCGCAGGAGAGTTTTTCTAGAGGAAAACCAAAAGCGCCGACCAGCAAAGTAGCAATTACGAGCATTTGGATTTATGCTCGCCCTACATACTCGAAAGGCTTCTGGAATCGCCACAACTCCTCAATTGACCGATTATACGGCTTTATCCTGTACCCATAGGGCACCGGGGAAATTTTTGTGCATGTGCACGTTCACGTGCGTGCGTGCATGTGCACGTTCACGCGTGCGTGTGTGCACGTGCACGTTCACGTGCGTGCACGTTCACGTTCGTGCGTGTGTGCATGTGCACGCACGTGTGCGTGCGTGTGTGCGTTCACGTGCGTGCGTGTGTGTGCGTTCACGTGCGTGCGTGTGTGCATGTGCACGTTCACGTGCGTGCGTGTGCACGTTCGTGCGTGCGTGTCGTGCGTGTGTGCACGTTCACGTGCGTGCGTGTGTGCGTGTGTGCACGTGCACGTTTACGTGTGTGCGTATACAGTCACATTATCATCATGCTCTGATACACGCAGTCGTTAGGAATAGCGAGCACGAGTGTGTGCGTGCGTGTGTGTTGTAGCAGCCGCGCCACATTCTGTCGTGTGACCGTGACTGCATCTATCCACGCTGCCGCCAGCAACGCTCTTCTTGTTTGGATCTCGCTAATAATTTATGAGTAGATGCTATCTCTATCTACGGCCGTGCCTCGTTGATGCAATCAATGGCCTTTTTGATAGCAGCAGATGACATTTTTATAACCGGGTTAATAGGATTCGATATTAACTATAAATGGGAGTTAATGTTTACCGTGCAATGTAGTCCGAGCCGTTTTAATTAGGAATGAACGTGGGAATGGACCTATCTCGTACTCTTACGGTCTAGGTTTATAAGTTTCTACACTTCTCTACTCTTCGTGCGTGTAGCTTAGCAGAGCGAGATTCGGCCGTTACTGTCAGCTTAAGGGTTGAGCTAATATCGCCCACAGCATTACTCGTTATTTTCATTCAATTACGTGTTTTGACATGTATTATATATTTATATTTTAAACTTTCGGCCAACTCGGTTGTTAGTTTTTTGGTATAGGCAGCTAGCACTCTACAGTGTGATTAAGTTTGTGGTTGATGTTCAATACATGATCATCCCACAGGGGTGACACCCCGGGGGCCTTGTACCTTGACTGCCAGGCACGTTCCGTTATGACAAACCACGATGGTGACAGAAACAGCAATAATAGCTTTTTAACAGCAATAGTATTTACAAACAATCCACGAAGATACAGTCTAATCAGAGCTAGATGCTGTTCCGTGGACTGCCGCGTATGTGTAGACAAATCGTTATATGTATACCTATGAGCTTGTCTGATTCGTGAACGTCGTTCCAGTCTATATATGGGCGCTGTGGCTTCGTTCCCGTCACGAGCCGCAGCCAATCTTACAATCTCGCCGCTCGCCTAGCTGGCGTGGTTGGTAGCGTCCGCGTGCGGAACCGCGGGCTGCTTCCACGGGCCTTTTAACCCCCGAGACGCAGGTCATGGGATCGTGTCTCGGTGTGGTTGCCCGGAAATTTTTTTTAGGTTTTTTATCAGCTTATAATCATAATATAATGTAGAACCTGCCGTGGGATAATATAATGGGATACCTGCCGTGCGATGGATGGTAGCCGTGCGTGACCTTTAAATGTTAATCTGATTCCACGCATCATCGCGTGCCTCTAACAACACGCATATTTGTGATATGTGGGGTGCCACGGACGCTGACAAATTACTACTACACGATGTATATACACGTGCCTTGACGTTGTGATTCCACCAGCTGTACACACACGCGCAATAACAGCGACGTCATAATGAAAGCATAGCGTATATGAAACACGGGGCGCGTATATGTAGTGTGCTTCAGACTTCTGGAATGTTAATGCTGTATTATTATCATACATATATGCAATGTACTGTTCAAATGTAATGTAATGTAATGTACCTCTTTGCATCTCTCTTCTTCGCCTTCTCCCTCTCTCCTCTCTCATTGACACGTATATGTACATCATATTCAGAGAGTCGGACAAGTGTAATTTCAATACAACGTAATCATTTATTGATTATACTACATCATACATAACAAACAACAAACAATACGTCTGATCTTGTAAATAACATTGACCGTTTGTACTATCGATAAGCGATTAATGACGTCGTTGCATGCAGGTCGGGTAAGGAGCCATCGCGACGTTCAACGGCCTACCGGCATCCTGCTGGGAGAGGTAAGTCACATTTGTATTCTCCTTGCCTTTCTCTGTGTCTCTCCTCTCTTCTTCGCCTTTTCCCTCTCTCCCTTCTCTCTCCTCTCATCTCTCTTCTTCGCCTCCTCCCTCTCGCCCCTCTCGTTCTCTCTCATCTCTCTTCTTCGCCTCCTCCCTCTCGCCCCTTTCGTTCTCTCTCTCCTCTCATCTCTTCCTCCCTCTCTTTCCTCTCATCTCTCTTCTTCGCCTTCTCCTTATCTCGCTCTCTTCTTCGCCTTCTTCCTCTCTCTCTCCTCTCATCTCTCGTTCTCGCTCTGTCTCCTCCCTCTCTCTCCTCTCATCTCTCTTCTTCGCCTTCTCCCTCTCACCTCTCTCGTTCTCTCTCTTCTTCTGCCGGGAACGAGAAGGAGAGAGAGTGAGGGCAAGGAGGAGAGGAGAGGAGGCCTCTCTCTGCCTCTCATCTCCCTCCCTTCCTCTCGCCTCTCAGCTTTCTTCTTCGCCGGAGAGAGAGGGAGGGAGCGTGAGGAGGAGGAGAGAGAGGGAGAGGGAGAGGGAGAGGACGGAGGAGGAGAGAGGACAGAGGAGGGAGAGAGGAGAGAGGGAGAGGAAGAGGAGGAGGAGGAGGAAGGTGAGAGGAGGAGAGGGGTGAGAGTAAGAGGAGGAGGAGTGGGTGAGAGTAAGAGGAGGAGGGGGTGAGAGTAGAGGGAGTGGAGTAAGAGGAGGAGGAGGGGGTGAGAGTAAGAGGAGGAGGAGGGGGTGAGAATAAGAGGGGGTGAGAGTAGAAGGAGTAGGAGCTCCGTCCTCTCTCCTCCTCCTCCGTCCTCTCTCTCCTCCTCCATCTCTCCCTGTCCTCTCCCTCCCGGCAGAGAGAACGAGAGAGGCAGAAAGAGAGAGAGAGAGGTACAGAGAGGGAGAGAGAGAGAGAGAGCGAGAGAGGTACAGAGAGGGTACAGAGAGGTACAGAGAGGGAGAGAGAGAGAGGTACAGAGAGGCAGAGCGAGAGAGAGAGAGATAGAGAGAGGCAGCGAGAATACAAACGTGACTTACGTCTCCCAGCAGGTTGTCGAGGATGATCACGGTCGGCAGCGGCGGCGCTTTCACACTGCTCGACTATGTTCGCATGATCGCATCTCTTTGTTCGACTTGTGGTCGACGATGGCGCCAGGCGATGACTCCTTACACGACCTGCATGCAACGACAATGTTACTTACAAGATCAGTATTATGTTTGTTATTTGTTACGTATGATGTAGTATAATCAATAAATGATTACATGTTATATTGAAATCACACTTGTCCGACTCTTTGAATATGATGTACATGTGTCAATACAGACTCTACAAAATGTAATTAGAGCTATCATAATCTTGAGATGTGCATTTTCGAGCAGTGTTACAGGTATACAGTTATACAGTTATACAGAGACCACCTCACTTGCTCATGCACATACAGTGCGCACACACACACACACACGAGTTCGAGAAGGTGAGACTCACCGCAGCACGAGGTATTCGGCCAGCCGCCGGTAGCTCTTGCCTGTGCCGCTGGGGCCACAGAGGATGATGCGGCGATGCTCAAGCAGCAGGATGTGTACGCTACACGATCGACTTGGGGATGAGCGTCTTGTAGGCAAGAGCATCCATGCAGTGCTGCTGCGCACCTAAAACAAGCGAACAGCACTCGCTCAATACTATTAATGATTTTAAATGATATTGTTACTACTCAATAACCATCAGAAAGTGGAGGTGGATTGGCCACACCTTACGCAAATCTAGATACCCACAAGGTCAACGGGGAAGGGGCCGTCCGAAAACTACATGGTCGGTCAAAGCCGAAATCAAAGCTGAGGGACACACCTGGGACACCATCAGGCAAATCGCCCAACATCGATTTTAGAGCGAAATGATCCTTAAGACTATCGCTAAGTGCTTTCTATGCGTTTTTTTATAATTGCTACAAAGAATACAGAAATAGGCTTAGGCCTAATTATATTACACTCATACTGCTTATAATTATTTATATTACTTATAATTATATTATTGATGACGTTCTATTAACGCTCGTAGGGTCTATGTCCCCCTGACCTCTGTTTGACCTGGCTTGTTGTGTAAGGGCAAGTTGGATGTACAACGCTAGTTCTCAGGGGCGGATCTAGCTTTCAGGAGATGGCAGGTGTTCCCTCCCAACTGGAAAATTCAGGCAGCTGCATGTGTAGTCACAGGGGAATCGGCCTGCAGACTAATTTTTTTATTTTTGGCCCCATTTTTTAATTTTTACTAGTATCATAACATTAGTCAGTGGCTGAACAGGGGGGTTGCAACCCCCCAACCCCCCTCTAGATCCGCCACTGGTTCTGATATCATTTTTATAGGGTTTCAAGTAACAAATCATAGGTATGGTGGCCCCGTGTTATAATAGTTTATCACAGTTTATCACAAGTCTTCGACATGTATATGGTCTATGAACATGTGTATGGTCTATGGTTTATTGAACAGTCGAAAAAGGGAACCAAAACTTTGCGTCCTGCCTTGAACCGATATATTTTGTTTATTCGATCTGTAAATAAATATTATATTACAAATAAAGATACTAACCGTTACAATACACATAGAACAATATAAATAGTGACTGTACATGAAATAACAACGTTACGACAAAATAATCTCAGTAATTTCAATGCGTTCTCTTTAGAGAATTTATACTCTAATTCAAATCACCAATACTTGAAGCAAATAATACACTTCTATCGTTTGCACTCGAAATACAGTTGTAGAACAAGCATGACTCAAATACAAGCTGCATCAATATTTAGAAGCCACACCTTATCCACTAAAATAAACATTTTGTCACGTTGTAACCCTACATTCCTTCATTTCCTTGCTAGGTATTAACGTCATTGTCACTACATTGCTCTATTAAACAGTCAACATTTATCCTTATTCTAATGACCTGCGTGTATTAAAAAAATGAAGTATAACTTCAGCTTAGTACTACGTTTTAAATACAATAATTCCTGTCTAAGCATTTTCTACTGCCACACTGAGCACTCTATAATAATTCCCTACAACTATCGCATGCACAGTGACTTCACCTATGCAAAATTCCTATGTAAATATACGCGCGAACGGGACAACACAAATTAACCATTAAGCTCAAATAAAAGTATCTAAATTATCACTTACTTCTTTGACAGGATACAATTTCATCGTGCCGACCAAATTACAGCGAACTGCCTTGCGCTATAGCTCTACTCAACTACTGCCAGTTACACGCTGAACACGGACTGGCTACAACTCTAACTGGCTTCTAACACACACGCGTGACGTCTAGCGAATTGCCACGTTAACAAATTTAAACAAAGCTGTGTCTAGACGCGCTACTGTAAAAGAAAAATATCGCTACATAGGTTCGCTTACCTGCTGCGCGTAGCCAGGGGGGGGCGGTGGGGGCGGTCGCCCCCCCCCAAAACGCCGGCCAAAAAGAGAGAGAGAGAGAAGAGAAAAAAGTAAGAGGACGTAGGAAGAAAAAGGAGCATACAAATATGCCTCAGATTGCAGGAAAATGGCTTAAATGGTTCAAAATTTTCTGGGGCGGCATGCCCCCAGACCCCCTAGCACTGCCGTGCCTACGGCACGTGCCAAACGTACGGTTGTCAAATTTGGCATGTGCGTGCATGTATGTATGCATGTATAAATGTATGTACGTGTGTTTGTGTGTGTGTGTGTGTGTGCGTGTGTGTGTGCGTGTGTGTATGTATGTTCGTGCGCGCGTGTGCGTAAATTATTGTGGGCTTACGATCGTGCTAGTATGTGATGCCTATCGCCGATCATCCCCCCCCCCACTCCTCGGTACGGATTTACGCCCCTGATTCGCACACTTCACGTGCTCGTACATTGCCGCCCCCCCCCAAAAAAATAAAATCCTGGCTACGCGCTTGCCACACAGTAGGTGACGCCTGCCCCACAGAAACAAATTAGCTTAACAAAAACCCCTGCTTCGTGAAACAGAGGAGATGTATCTCTATGCTCAAGCCAAAAAATTTCATGAAATTTCCAGCACCTAATTATGTTACCACACAAATTTTGAATTTTTATGTAAAAATGGTATTTTGGATATTTCTCATCTACCAGAAAGAGTGAGGATACAAAATTTTTGCCACATGTTAAGCACAATATGGACCAAAATAGCGCGTCAGGGTTTTTCTTTAATTTTCATATTTACCGAGAAAACTCGAAAAAACTGCTTAAAAATCAAGTTGTGTTAAAATAGAAAATTTTAGCGAATAAAGAGGCATATAACTAATAAAGTACGGCACTCAATAACAATCCCTGACGCGCTTTTTTACCACAATATGTTACCATTCAAACGAGTGTAAAATTAAATTAATCCGAGTTGTAATCACAGAGAAATATCCATTTATACATCGGCTACTATGTCAGAAATCGAAACGGAGAAATCACCGTTTTTCTATTTTTCACAATGAGTGACCGCCTGTGTGCAAAATGGGTGAACGTATGTGAAATATCTATTGTTAGTACTTACTGCGACATATCCATGACTAACTGACACCACTAAATTGGTAAAATGTTCCATGCACCTTGAGAAATTCTGAGAAATTACGAGGTTACCATCCCAGAACGTGCGAACTCCTCTCATCCTGAGGTCACAAAGCTAATATGTCAACAAACGCGGCTATGTACTGCACTATAGTAAGCTAGTGTGTTGCGAGGTGTTAGAACTATTTTGGGCGTGGGATACTTGTTGGATCACTAGCATGCAGATGTACACGAATGTACATGAATACATGTAATGACAGCTGTAGCAGGGTTGATGCTTAATGATACTGGCTTAGTTAATATAGTGGTTGTATCATGTCTCTGACATCATTATGACGTAATAATGTACGCGGGCAAGCAAAAACGCTCTGACAGTTCACATGTACTGTTATATGGAGAAATGAGCATGTATACAGGTGGCAAATAGTGTTAGCCATCGAATAAAGTTGAAAACGAAAAATCGATGAAATTTCATGCACAACGTGGAGTATGCGACAGTGCAACAGTGAAATGCGAAATTGCAGTTCAAATCTAGATACTAACCCTTGATGTTTCGTTTGCATTTTCGGCTGCAGGTGGCGTTGCAAAGCAGCACATGTTGCAATATCCTTGCACGCATTCAGGCTCTACAATAAATCAATATAGGGCTTTATGCTGCAAATTTTGTTCTCATTGCTATAACTGCATCACAGTCTGAACCTAATCGTAGGATGGAACTTTACACGTTTATGTATACAATTTGTCAAATGCTGTGTGTAATCTATTAATAATCTGCAATTATAAATACACGCTTTATAAGTACAAAAAAATAAACGTTATTTACCAGACATCTTAAATATTGAATTGCCAATGGCCCTTCTTTTTGATAGTATTTTTCTGTTGTTTGCAGGGGTGCTGATGCCGGCCACATCTGTACCCAGGAGTGTATATTGTTCTGCCGCCTAATTAACAAGCCGCCTAAGAAAACAACTGGATTACACTCGGATGCATGTTGTTAATTTACACTAATTATGTGCCTAAGTGCGCCTCATTCGACAACAAAATGCTAGATATTGGCCTTGATTAAATGCAAGTAAGGGCAATTATATTAATTTACACTAACTCGCGCTTGTTAAATGTATTTCCGTAACTTGCACTTATATACTACTACTACTACTACTACTACTACGACTACTACTACTACTACTACTACTACTACTACTACTACTACTACTACTACGACTACTACTACTACTACTACTACTACTACTACTACTACTACTACTACTACTACTACTCAGCGTACGCATCCGAGATAGCGTTTACAATGCCATGCCATGAATATTTGTTCATCATCAGTGTCTGCATGTCCGCTATGTCATGTTGGATATCCCTTACAATGCAGTCAATGTAGTTCAGTGGCCGTCTTCCTCTAGTTCGGCAAGGCAGTCACAAGCAGATTACATCAGATATGATTTGGTTTTTGGCACGAAAACAGTGACCAGCAAAACGAGCGAAATTCGGGAATAGCGTTCGGGGGAAAAGTACAGAACACCGAAGCCACCGAAACTGCCGAAACCACCGAATGCCGAATACCGCGAAGCATTGAGTGCGCAAGGCACCGAGCACGCGAGGTAGTACGTAGCAGTCGAGAGGGTGACTGTCGCGCGCAGTAGACGCGGCGCGAAATAGCGTACAGAGACTAGCATTCGGGCTACGGATATAATGATTCGCGAGTGTAAATAGTGTTCGAGGTAGAGTTTGCCGAAGTGTTTGATTCGGTGCCGCTGCTCAGCGAATAATTCGTTCGGGGCAAGCGGAGGGGCGAAACAGTAGTAAAAGTGGAAGGACGCGGTGAAGGGAAGGAGCTAGAGATGGCGGGGAAAGATGTTATAATAGAAGCAGCTGGAGAGTACACACAGAGACAGACCGGAACAGTGGACACACACTTCTGAGAGTTCTTGGAGGAATAGAGGGTTTTTAGGAGAGAGTTATCCAGGAGCCTACGGATTTGTATTTCGTAGTTTAGCGAGTTACTCGTAACGTTAAGCAAGTAAACTATTGTGTGGGAGATATACTTCTGGAATTAACACCAGCGCCGAAACGAGTGAGTACGACTCAGAAAGCTCAGTAAGCTCAGAAAGCTGCTCGTTTGACCACCGGTGCGGTGCGTTCAGCGTGTATCTTCCCCATTCTTTCGTTGTTATGCAATAAACGTCATTCACTCTTAGCACACTTTTGCCTGCGCCTTCATTTCTTCTCACGTCTACACGTCAATCTCCAGGGCAATGTTTTTCGGCCGATCTTATATGCTTAACAAAGTCAAGGTCGTAGACGAGAGACAGTTGAACAGTAAAATCCGATCTCAGAGCCGCAGCAACCCGCCATTCCCTGCCGCACTGCTAAAGTATATGAGCAACAACGCGCGGGTCCCTCGTCACCATAGCCACCCAAGACGATGTGTTTCTTTCGACCTTACGCGCTTACAAAAGACAGAGGCATTGCCGAAGGGCACACGCATGGTAAAATTCAATTAAGCGTTTCACTTGTCATGTCTAATGCGTTGTTCCACGACCTGCGCACACAGCAGCTAGACGCACGTTCGGCTCGTGAGCACGACCGGCCATACAAGTCGCAGCTGCAGATGCGGTCCAGCCAAAAACTAAGACGTCTACGGCGTCGACCAAACTCGCACAAACCCTCTGCACGATCTTCGTCGTGTTCGTAATCACCTGGACTCCGATTGTCTTTGACTTCTACTTCGATCCCAACTACGACTGGCCGGCGCCATTTTTTCTCTTCGCGATCTTTATGGCGCACTTCAACAGCTGCGTTAACCCGATCATCTACGGCGTGACCAACAGACAGTTTCGTGCTAGCTTCAGACACGTTCTGTGCCTGGGCGGGCGCGGTGGGGATTAGTCCGCTAGCATGCGAAACCCATTGCATGTTGGGTTGAGAAGCGGGCGCGGTGGGGATCAGTCCGCTAGCGTGCAAAGCACGTCGCATGTTGGGTTGAGAGGCGGGCGGCTGACGCCCCGCAGCGGGATAGCCTTCACAGCTGCATCTAGCAACACGGTTACAGTAAACGAAAACGTTTAGCATCAAAATAGACGCCGAGTAGACGCTGTTCAATGATACCGTTGACACGGTAACCGTCGTGCAGTTAGAAGCCCTTTTACTCTCCCGCAGGTATATGAAATCCCGGAAGACGAGACATCTATTAAATTCTTTGTAGAATCCTGTAGTTTGCTACGGTTGTGTTGGCTGTGTAGCTTCCGATTGGTCAACGGTCGACACTTTACATCTTCGAATCAATATTATATTATACTCAGTGGCTACGCGTCCGGCCATCCATTACGAAGCTGATAGGCTTGATAAGCTGATAGTCACGATTAGGCCACGCCCCTTTTCAAATCGTTGATTTTTCTGGATTTACTATTGCTTCAAAAGTTACATAAACACATTTTTTTTGTTAAAATACCTAAAGGTAAGTAATATTATGGTAAAAACTTATTGTTTATTGTTTTTTACTGAAAAAATATAGTTGGGTTCACATAAGAAATATATGGCCGGACGCGTAGCCTGGGAGCTGCGCATTCGGTAACCGGACGCGTAGCCACGGCCTATATTATATTATATTGCACTTTATATAATTGAATATTACACTAACTCGCGCTTGTTAAATGTATTTCCGTAACTTGCACTTATATACTACTACTACTACTACTACT